ATTTACTTTTAAAGTAAATGTTGACATTGGTTCATCCCTCCATATTGGAACCTTGAAAGACTGTTCGAATGAATATTTTGCTGTGGAAGTTTGTATCATGTACCCTCACGATGTGGAATTCTGTGTAAAAAGAAAAAAAAAAGGAGAGCGTGGCTGGGTGGATGGCGTTAGTCGCGTGCACGATGGGGAGCCGAGAGCGACGACATGCAGACATGAAGGAAGAGTATTGTTACTGCGCATACGATGAGAGAAATGAAAAGGAAGGAAAAAAAAGTGTCAGGAGGGGGGAATTAACTTGGATTTCGCGCCTGTCCGTTCCTGAATAAAAGACTAACGAGGAAACCTGATTGACGTCACGCCCATTGTATGTCTACGTCATCGTGGACCCTGACACTGTCAAAAAGCCTCCTCGGTCGAGACCCCCCTCCTCCCGAAAAACAAGGGAAATGGGGGAAAGTCAAGATTTTTTGTTTCTGCACGATCAGATTTTGTCGTCTGCCGGAGATAACAAGGAGATGTTGCGTGGGAAAAGAAGGTACATGGTTTAAGGATAAGGATCGAATGCAGTGTAGGACACAACACTGATAAGTTTGCGACAAATGACTCAATTCCAGATGTAGGTCGCAGGTGAGAGGGTGCACTGCTCGCATCATTTTTCAAAAAATCCACTGTGACTTATGGGTTTCCCACGCCTTCTCGACACATTCGCGCACAAAAAATCGTTCATACTGGAGGAAATTCGAATTCGGATTCCGTGATAGGGGCAGGGTGATAGGGTATTCAAAGTTGACGATGAGGAAAATGAAATTATCCCGCTGTGTTCTATATAAACAGAACCAATGTTATTCTGCGGGTCACAATCAGCTGTCATCGCGTGCTGGAGTCCCCAAAGTCCATCCAGAGTCATGAGCGTGGAAGGAGGCAGGGGGAGAGGAGTTGTTTATGAAGAAAGGGGTATTATAACATTTGACAGGGAGACATGCCCAGTAGTCGTGGAATTCTAATGTGTCCTCTCCGTCCCTTCCCCTAACCCCAACCACGACAGGTATAATGAATTAACTCTCCTCTTGTTTTTCTCTGATGCAAGCTCCCGATAATCCTTTCTCCCTGGGAAAAGAATTCTCGGACTTCTTAGTGACAGATGACGCGGGAGACAATATTTGGGAACGGAGTGGAAAGACGAACCCGATTCCAATCGGGGTCCCCTCGGTGACCATGATTCTGGGGATATTCCGAGTCTAAATTTAGACATGGCGCCGCACACGTGTCTGACAACCGGCTGGATAATGAGACTCAGGACCAGATTCCCAGAAAAAAAGGATTATAAACCCCGGGGGACATGAGCTTTTCTGGAAAACTGAACTTACTTCCCACTGCCAAGGTCACCTGTCGGATGGGGGGGAAATTATATCCTCTCACTCCGCAGGACGCAGATTAAAACCTCCAAGAATTAAAACAAATGCCTAAGCAATTTCGGAACTTTCGAACGTTTTGTGTAATATACATATTTTTATTTGGTGTGCGGTCCTATACTTAGCTATTCGCATGAAGTCAATGAGAATAGAGTTTCTTTCCTTTGCGAGGAACCGAATGGAGCCGTGATTTTATTCCTCCACTACTGTAATTCATGGTTCCAGATTTCACGGCCTTATTGTTTTGTTTCATCTTGTGTGCTTTAAGAGGCTACAGCCTGCTCTTCACACAGCGAACTGCGAGTACCAGTTTTTTTTTGCCCCTGAGAACCCGCCCCCCACTGGCCTTGCAGCCCCCTTTCTGCTACCCATCCTCTCTGGCTCATGATTCAAAATATGTCACTGCGGGTTCTCCCTTCTGCCGAATTGGCAATTTAAATTCTGATACGGTTGATCGAATGCCAAGCATAAATGGAATAAGTCAATTTTTTCCCAGTGGTTAGCGGGCACGAAAAAATAAATCGCTTCCCAATTTATTTTTTCATGCCCGCTAACATTTGTGATGTGTCGCCCGTCGTTCTCAAGACAAAGACCGCAGTTTCCCAAACATACGTAATAAACTAACTGCAGACGATCAAACCTAGAGGATTACATCAGCGTCCAGTGAGAATATCAGGTACCGTCACATTGTAGTGTATAGTAAGCATCGTGGAATTACACTATTCCATGAAATACTGAGCGCTCTCCCCGAGCTTGAGTGGATGTTCCCCTCTTTCCTCGTTCATTGCTCGAAATTTCGCGCACCGATCACAATGATTTCCTTATCGTTGGGAGGTCTCTTAGTCCCCTTTGATTTAGGATACGATACATGACAACTCGTGAAGGAGTTTCGATAGGGCGATCGAGGAAAGATGAAAGGGATCGTACTGTCTGCTACTTCTCCACCACTTTTTTTTATGGAATGGTATACGTTTCAAATGACAGGACTGGAATGAGTGATAGGTTTTTTTGTAAACATATTTTCCTTCCTTGTGTAGGCACACCTGGCATGGATGCATCGATAACTGATCTAGTTTTTATAAACTCTTCTTCTAAGGTATGTCGTTACAAACACGCGGCTCAACTGATGCAGTGATTCTCTCTCGTGAATTGAGATTGGGTAACAGCCAGAAGCCGCTGAGGGCAAGGTCAAGCGAAGTTGGTGCTCTCACTTGAATTCTTTTCCCCGTAAACATGGTCCATTGTCCCGGAGAAGCGATATTCCTCCTTATTGCATAAGAAAAGAGACCAGAGATGCTGTAAGATGGATCCTCTATCAACACAGCATGTGCCACATCATAGGGCCTGCTAAATTCAGGCCACGGGACGCCCGCCGTATTCGCCACACCTTGGCCCTTGTGTCTCCTGGCTGCTCCCTGTCGCGAGACTCACTAAGGGGGGTTCACTGCAGTAGCTGAGCCACCTTGAGAACAGCCTTTTCCCAGATGTACCAACATACGTGGTACAGTGTTTGCCTCGTGTTATCGGTGCTGAACTCAACAATGCCAAGTACCTTCTCAATCAAGAAGATTTCGCTGAAAATTGAACATTTTATTAATTCCAGTTCTCTCATTGGAGCTTCGCATTGCCCGTCATTATATTTATATTTAACATTTTTACTGCATCTCGTTCAAGTCATTGTTTTAGAAGCTACAAAAGGAGGAGTAAAATTGTTCTTGCCTGCTGGGAGATGACAGCACTGAAGGGATATAAGGTATAGAGGTGTACAGTGGCGGCTCGTGATATTCAGCGCTAGTGGTTCGTCTATGGAGAGGGGGTAGGCAGCGCCCCCCCCCTGCCTACCCCCTCTCCATAGACGAACCATGTTCGTCTATGGAGAGGGGGTAGGCAGCGCCCCCCCCTGCCTACCCCCTCTCCATAGACGAACCACTAGCGCTGAATATCACGAGCCGCCACTGGAGGTGTATGACAGTAAGGTTGAACGCCTTTATTTCGTGGAAGAGAGATGCCTGCTGGCTCCTCCTGTGAAATACGCCCCATTCCATTTGAAAAAGACCCGGGTGCGCATTCTGAGTCATGAGGATCCTCAAAAAGGGGACTCACTTAACCATGTGTTTCATTCATTTTTGCTGCGACACCTCACTCCCGCTATGCCCGAGTCAAGCCTTTTATAAAGTTCTTGTATGATATATCTTGGAGGACCCCCGAGAACTCCATTCATAATAAGGGATAAAAGATGAAGTTGGAAAATTATTCCATGGAATACAATTTTCGGCCATATCGTATCCTCCTCCTCCCGATTCTTTACTACCTCGCTCCTTTCCTAATATTGTTGCACATTATTTACAGCTCTGGAATAACTGAAAATGGTCGCGAAACATGACTGTATGTTATTTGTATACGAGATGTCACTGAATCTCCAGATTATCTCCGATATTTGGGATCTCGTTCGAAAATTGATTGTATCGTGAAAAGAATGGAGGTGGATAAGAGTTATTCACGTGACACGCATGAAGTAGAGGACGGTATTTAGAGTGAGAAAAGTACGGTAGAGAAACGTCAGCAGCAAACAATATGAAATGAAATGAAATACGTCGAACAAAATGACATTCTGAAAGCGTTGGGCTTTTTCGTTCGCTTTTCAGTTGTTGACGGTTTTCTTTTCTTGATTAATCGCGAAACTCCTTTTAAGATCATTCATGTTTTAGGTGTTTCTTCGAGTCTCACATTAACTAAAAATCTCATTCACCCGCCGCTCAGGACAAGAAGTGAAGAATAAATCATAGGAAGATAATGCGGATTTTTTCTTCCTTTGCAACTATGCGCAGTCTCGAGGGTGAAACAAAAGGGCTTCCTTCTTCAAGCTTGTCGCGCGAGTCACCCTTTTCGCAGCGTCTCTCTTGTTTTCTGTAGCTTTTCGTTGCTACCTCAGGTGGTGTGCATTCGAGTAATTCAGATTTTTTCAGCATCCCCCGGAAATGCCGACTTCAGCGCACAATTGTATGCAATAGTCTTTCTTCTTGAATGTATATTGTAATTTGGGAAATCTTTAATTTTCTTGCAGGTATTTCTTGACGTAACTCCTCTCTTGCCGATATGTCGAGGAAAGTCAGTTCGGAAACTGTCAGTAATAATAAATTGAGCGCCTGCTCAATTTATTTTTCCTGGATAGCTTCCCGTTTCGGATCCTTCCAAGGAAGTCATGTTTCTTGGGGGTGTGCTGCAGAGAAAGTGAATGGGAATTCTTTAATGTAGAATCCTGGAGTGAAGCGTTGCAGGGAGTCTATGGAAGAGAGGAGGGACATCGCAAAAAAAGGGAGGATGGGGCCACATTAGCGTCCGTAATGAATGAATGAATGAAGGGACGCGGAGTCTTTCTCGTGTTAATTTCCCGTCCTGTATGCAAAATAAGGTCACATCTCATCCATCAAACTCGACAGTGAAAGAGTTGCAACGGATCCTCATCCATCATTGGAAAACCCTTGCCGATTTTCCCACCGTTTTATTGCCGCGTCCTTTTTTTTCCTTTTTTAATTCATCGTCTGCCAGTTTTCAAAGGGTTGGCTGAAATGAAAATAAAAAGGGGCATTGTGTCCCACCGAATCCTTCTTTATTGATGCGAAGGAACAACCAGGGGTAGGGGGAAAAGGGGGGAAACAGTTTCAATGTCGTCCAAGGGTGCAGCAGAAAAAAAAGAAGTGAAGCATGGTGACTCGTATTTGGGAATACCCGAAAACCTGCAGTGTGACGTGTAGGACAAAATTGTCTAATCATCCAAGAAAAAAAAAATTCGTGTCGAGTTCTTCTTTTGTATCACATTCAGACTCCTCGCGTGAATCCGAGGAAGATATAGAGACGACAGACGCAATAATTCTACAATTATTCTCTGACACATTCATTCTTTCTATCTCTCTTTCGTCATGGGGATGAATAGAGATGCTTTTCTCCGTCTGCAGATAAACTCACTCGCTTCAGGGGTGACAAAAATCAACACACAAAAAGACCATGACTAGATGCCGAGAGATTCCGTATAATAGAAAAATACATTATCACTGAAAAAATGAGGGGGAGGTTCTGTGTGCTTCCTCTACAAACACTACCCGAAAATAAAACAACAAAAAAACCAAAAGATTGATGGATTTGAATTAGGCCATGGCGCCAACCATGCCGTTGGTGAGGCTAAAGCCAGCAGTGGCCGAGGTGCCTAAAGTAGGTATCGACGAAGCCTGGCTGTATCCCATGTGGTGCATTTGAGGAGATGACATGAAGGAGTGCGCCAAGCTCTGACCGGTCATTCCCGCGTGGGCGTGAGGGTGATGGTGATGATGCATGTTCCCGCCGTTGTACATGTAGGAGGCCATGGACATGCTCATGGTGGGGCTCACGAAGCTCCCAGGTGGAGAGGAGGGAAATCCTGGGAAAGCCCCCGATTTGTCGTGCAGAGGCTTAAAGAGTTCCAGGCCCGGCGGGAGTCCCTTCTTCTTCTTCGATTTTGTAGACAGTTTCCGATTTCGCGTTTGGATCCCCTCCTTCTTCATCGTCATCGGACGGTTCACCTGTACAACAAGCACAAAAAGAAAAAAATAATTCCACTTGAGAGTCTCAGACAACTCTTCTCATTATACTTCCAAGAGTGAATGAATCAGATCGACCCAGAAAAGCCATGAGCGCAACAAGCCGGACTTATCAAAGTAAGTAGTAGGCGGATGGGGTTGAAGGGTCATGCAATTTCCTTTTGACGAGGGACTATTTTGCAGTAATAGGTTATAACATGAAAGGCCCTATTACCAATGACGAGACATGAAACTCTCTCGCCGCCTTGTCCCCCTTCCCTATGGGTTAGTTTTACTCTTTTATTGGTATCAGCTAGCGACTCGGAGGATCGGCAATATAGGCCATTATTGGTTTCGTTTTTGCCTTTAGGAATTCCCTCCTACATAATAATTTTTGACTCAGCATTTGAACTTCGCATTCATGATCACATAATCACGCTCGAGTCTAAGCTTGAGCTTGTAATGCAATTCTCGGACCGCCAATGAACGAGTGACCCGAAATTCTCAAGGACAGACCATTGTGATTTCGGACGCCAAAGGACTCAATGCACTCTGTCTGGAACGTATCTAAACATGTCTTATTGACACTTTGGGACTTAAACAGAAGAGTCGATGAGAATTAAGGTTGAAGGTCTTGTTGCGAGAGTGAGAGGAACGTTCATTATCTTCTCGAATCAGAACTACTTGAATTCCCCATTACATCGGGCTAGGTCCTCAAGGACCCCGCGAATATCAATCAAGGGAAACAAGTAATGACACGATCCAAAAAATTGGGAAATAGAAAGTGAATTAAGAAAAGGGAAAGAACCCGACTAGCACACTGGCCATCATGTTTTTAATTTCACCTTCAATGCCGTCAATCGGCTAGAAGATTAGATTGCAATTATAAGTCGTTAACAATGGAAATAAAATAGTTGAGTCTTAGTATAAACCAAGATATGAAACGATTTCGTTTTCTTTGATGAAAGGGCAGGGGATTGTAAGACGGCCTGGCACACCTCCAATACTTTCACCCTCCCTAACAAATACATGTTGAAAATATATATATGAAACAATAGGCTAGTTTGGATTCGAATTCGTGAACTGAAACGACAAAAGTAGTTAAGGACATGAGGGATTTTAGGGGAAGAGGGGGAGAAGAGGCACTTAACACGCGCGAAACTCCCCCTCTTCCTCCGTTAATTAAATAACACCAATTAAAAAGTCCGGATCCGCCAGGACTGATGGCTGAGCTTTGCCTCATTATAACGTCGCCTCCGGCCATCACCTGTCAGTGTCAACCGCCTTGTCCTCTTGGTCTATGGAAAATTATTAGACGCCGGAGAAAACCTTAATGGGACCACATCCACGTCTCTCTATCCCATCACTTCTTACGTAGGTCTACTTCTTATATTAGATAATTAAGGAACTCGGCAGGGAACGAAAAGAACGGGACTATGCCAATAATGAGATGCTGAAACTCGTTATTGGCCTAATGAGTCGAGTATTTGAATTTGGTTTGGTACACTCTTTTGTTGACAGCATTCGAGGCAAAATGCCCATCCCCTACGAAGTATGATTTTTGAGTCCAAGCATTGCGTCGTCCGCGCAGGTAAAACATTTATATCGAGGGACGAGGGGGACATTCAAGGAAGAGGGAGAGGGAGAAAAGTTTTATAGTGGTGGGGGTAGTTAGGTAGGAAATAAATGTGTCGGAGGGGGGAGACAGGAGTCAGGAGACAGGAGCGGGCGTGGCAGGGGGTGGCTCACAGGTGAGGTCCTCTCATCCTTGGGGGGCTACCACCCGGGCACCGGCCTCCTTCCAATTAATGCCCCCTGAGACAAACATCGCAACTCTCCCCATATTCCCATCACGCCCGCACTCTCCTCTCGATGCATCGGATCAGATTCCACACAACTTTCGTTTCAGCCTAAACGAATGCAACGAAATATGATCATCGCGAAAGGAGCCTATGATTTAAAAGAAAGGAAAATGAATTATGCTGACTCAATGGATCAATCGTCCAAGGATTTATTTTATGTCCTAGTTCGTTTCGCTGTTTTTCCTGTGGAGAGTGCAGCCAAGGCTCATCTCCGGCGATGTCCCCTGGTTTATGACCGGCTGTGTCCAGGTAGTAAAAATCCACTGAGTTTTATTTGCATTTCGTCTTGACCAAACAAGCGTTAAAGCATGGAGAATTTCGAGGGACACTGGCGCCTCGGAACAGGTTTCCCTCATCCCAGGACAATATCGGTCGGGGCCTCTAATGAAGTACTCCCAGACAATGGCCACTCCACTCTCATTATACATGCACTGACTTGTGAATTGGATGCGCAAAAAAAGGAGCACTGTTCTGGCGCACCTGGTCAGTACAGAAGGGAAATATGACGTCAACGTTTTTCGCTAATTGGCTAAGGCCGGAAATAAGAGGGGGACAGAGAATTTTATATTGTGTTCCCAGGAAGAAACGGGAGGTTCATTAGCTCATCCTGTTCCCTTTATGCTTCCACACAGTTAATTATTTATGGGCCGATGATCTTTCTCTAGCTCTCTTTCTCTCTTGCTGAGCTGAGATTTGAGTGTCTGGTGATTGTAGTAGCGAAGAAAAGCGTGTCTTGTTCAGATTGGAGCGTGAAATAGGATCCGAGAGGGCGCCAGGGAGTCGGAAGGCGGGGGGTAAATGGGGGGTAATTGGCGGAGCACCCCCATTGTGAAGGACAATCCGCCTCCAGACAGGTGTCTCTCGCCAATTGACACGCTCTTTTTTCGTTTTGCTTCTTCCCTTCCCATCTTCTTCTTGGGCGACATTTTCTAGGGAAGCCCGCAACTGTTATGATAGAGAGGGAAAGGGGAAGGGGGAAAAAAGGGAAAGAAAGGCGTCGATCTTGACAGCAGAGGAGAGAGCCGCCATGATGATGATGATGACGATGGTGATGATAGTCCATTAGTGAAGGTAGCCTAATGGAGGTCCCAGCGCCTCCTTACATATAAGGATCCCTCCTCCCCCATAATAGTTAGGCCTACCGTTTGCCTCCCCCACTCGATGCGATTATTATTGGTGGATGTGGAAAGGAGGAGGAAGAAGAAAAAACACGTACAAATAGCCCGAGAGCACAAGCGGACGTCCTTCGACGCGGTACCTCATAAATCCTGCGTCCTTTCAAGGATGCATCTAGCATCGTCGACATCACCTGTCTCCCTCCGATGAGTTATGATTAGATCGCGCTGTACCATAGTCTAACCTGACCTGCCTCTCATTTTGACAGATATCCATCTCCTTCCCTTTCGCGACCTCGAGGCATCACCTCTTTGCATTCATTTCTTTTCACATTTTCATATCTTCAATTTAAGCTGAATTTTATTTCGTTTTCCGGATTTTTTTTTACGTCTAACGGTCGAAAGTCTGATGGGTATCAGTTTTCGTTTTCGGGTTCACAATATTCCATTCGATTTCGCGATTCGAAACGAAGCGCCAACTGGAATGCTGAATAGCTGACCAGATTGGTCCCAACATTGACAGATGAACCTGAAATGTCCATGTACCAATCCATTTACCAAATGCAAGTCACTGCCCCTATTGCTACCACGCATCAAAGACATTGAGAAACTAGTCAATTTCCATCAAGGAATTTTCTCTCTCGATTGTGTCATGGAAGTCCTTCATGTTAAGATCATATATCCAGGTGTAATCTCTAACCTCGATCAATGGGTCTACTTCGGGTAACTGCTAATTTGCACTGCAGCAAGAAAATCAGGCTTCTACGAGATAGGTTCAAGGAGAAATCACACGTCATGGTTGCATTTCAGTTCTGGTTTTTGTTACAAATCGTCATATTTAATGGAATGGGATGAACCTTTTAAAGGCAAAGCCCCTAGCTCAGTCCACTTTCTCAAGTACTAAGAGTCTCCCCTATCCGATTTCTTAACTGGATTTCATTGGAAGGATTCGTTCGTTTGAGGTATCGTCAGTATCCTCTTTGAATGGTGGACGCTACAGGCTGAAAAATATCGTTGGATTCGGTACATAAAAGGCTATCAAAATATGTATTCCTGTCAGACGCAACAGTAGACGGAATGCACTTGGTGAGGACCTCTCCTGCTATTGGACACGTATGCGGCTGATGCAAGGAAAAGAATGTTTTGTGTCCAGCGGCTACCTTGACAAAGAGTCCTCAGCAAGTATGAAGTAGGTAGAGTTAGGTTAGTTAGATCACCCTTCATTTATTCCACACGCATGCATAGCACAAGGAGCCCATAGGAGACGGAAATGGGATTCAACGATCTCAATTTTAGCATCATCCAGCAACGACAGATGTCGAAGGATGAGAATTAAATTCTAGGATCGTAGTGGACTTGTCACCACTTCATGATTATCATTTTGCAAACGGTATGACGGCAACGCAATGCATTATTATTATTTCATGAGGAAAGAGGTACATAAGGCGTCATCCTGGGAGGTGTGAGCAGACTGTAATGAACACAGAAGTCGGGTGGATTCCAAATCCCATTCATATCGTTATGGTATGTATGCCCATGTCCCATTCCACAGATGCAGAGGCAGGCGTCATGACATCTGAGAGAGAGAGACCTGTTATGCAGCATAATGGCTGAAGCCCGGCTCTCTCTCTTTTGAAGATGTAGCCTACCTTCGCCCCGAGGCCCATACAACGAGAGGGGGCGGCCAGCATACTAAACAACCTCCCTGTGTCTCTCTATGATACAATGCCACGACCAGGAGAGAGGAAAGAATCTTAATGCATTTCCATCAGAAGGGATGAGAAACCTGTTTCCCCCCCAAAGTCGCGTGGAAGATCAGGAAGGTTCTTTGGAGTGTGAAGTCGAGCATTTTTTTGTCTTTTTTTTCCCCTTGACCCTAAAGGAATGTGAATGCCTTTTCGGAAATAACCCCCCGATATTCCGAACCGTCGGATCGGGTTTTCCGCCCCGACGAACCCAAGATGTCCCACTCGAAAGACAAACTGTTTTGTTTGTCCCTTCTCCCCTCTATACACTCCATCATGTAGAGCTTATGCATCCCCCAGATTATGGGGGATTCGGAATCCGTTCGCCCTGAAACACACACGGCGCTTTGATTCCTCTCTGAAGAATCAAAGCGCTGTATGGGAAACGGATTCGGTTGAAAGGGAGAAAGCCAGAGGAAGACGAGGGAGACTGGATGCGAAGGGAAGGGAAGAAGGGAGACAGAGGGAAAAAAAAGCCAAGTAGGAAGGAAGGATGAAGGGAGAAGGTTGTCCCTTTGAAACAAGCGTCTCTTTTCAACGGAGGAAGCGCACGGCGCCGTGCTGTCGGAATTGTCTCTTTCGGATGAAGTTTCTCTCTCCTCCTCCCCTATTGCATTTTACTCCCTTCTTCCACAGGCACGAGAAAATTTCTAGCGCGGATTCGAATTTCTTGGAGTTGCTTCATAACAGACGTTAGATAGATATGCCGTTAAAAATTCAAACGGTCAGCACACATGTGCCTCGAGTAGGGTTTGCAGAAACCACCCAAAAATACAGATGTCCGTCTTGCAAAAGGGAAGATGAATGATTGGCCTGGTCGAGTGAGGGCCCTCGCCGGTGCGATAGAGGTAAAGGAAGAAATATGGAGGATTGGATGGGGTGGACCCGGTAGGGGTCGGGTGAGAATGTGCAAACAACGCATTCAGGCGCAACATCCCAATCATCATCCCACACACATACAAGGGACACGGACATCCCTGGGACACAAAGGGAAAAAAAAAGAGGCCCGCACACCCCGACTCAATCCTGGGGGCCATTGTGACGCCGTAATAGAAATTCGATTGTGTAAAAGTCAGCCTCCGACCCACACCCCATGCTGCGACACAAAAACAGCGCCTTGTTTAGTGTAGTCGAATAGACTCATGTACTTGACTCCCTCCCGAACTGATGGGCGTGACCTAGACGATTGAGCACCATCATAAATCATGAAATTGTCGCAGTACTTACTATGCGCAACCAAAAAATTTTATCCCTCAAGGGAAATCCTTGAAAAGTAACCCAGCCTCTTCGGCCACACGACAATGGTGACATGGTCTGAGATTATATTCTAAGTGCTCCTTTTAGCTTGCACGGGAATATAATTTGTTATCAACGCGTTCAGGCGTAACGTCAGTAAAAGAGAAAACATATTTTAACTGTCGGTGATCTGGAAACATAAAATGGTGCTCCGTCATGGCTCATTTGTAAGACAGTTGGGACGTGGGTGTTCTCATACTATCCCGATTGAAAACGAAATATTTATGTGGATATATAATTTTAAAAAATGCACAAGGCGCAAGAAGTCTCCCGTGGAGCGATCTCAGGTTAAGACACTCTTATCTCTTTCTTGGACTGTGCCGGGGTTGTTGCTCTACAGGGTCAGTGAGTCCACCAAGACTTCCCCGTTGAGTTCATGAAGCGTCCCCTCAACGGCATCGGTACGTGTCGTGCAGATAATTAGAAGGCGGGGAGCTGGTTTGTCTGGCATGGCAGAGCACCAGCACGCAGTGCCTGGTATCAAGCAAAATTTTGAAAGGAGTGTAATAACCTATTTATTTACGTTGTCACCGAGCGCCGTTTTCATAGTCCCGATGCCATAATCTAGCAAAAGTACCCCTTTTGATGATGACCACAGTCAGCACAATGCGATAAAGGCTCTTAAGTACTCCAGCTCATTTTCAGTTCCAGCATTACTTCTAACAGCTACTGAGGCACAGGAATAATTTTTACTCTTGAGATGCTTGAAACCAAATGAAGAACGCGCAATTTTAATGCAAGAAAGAAAAGTGGATCCTGGAGCCTTCTGACTGTCTCGTTGGAGCGATGATAGCCTCGTCAGATAGGCCACACGAGGCAGGAAAAAGAAAAGAGGTGAGGGGGATGGATAAGATAAGACTGGGTGGCAAAGTGCCCCTATTATTATCCCCAGGGGCCAAACGGGCGACCCAGGACCTAAGTCTCGAGGTCGACGGACGCCAAAACCAACCCAGGGGATTTTTTTCCTTATTGTGGAGAAGGAAAAAAGTGGGGATGTTTCGTGTTGTGCCGTGGATCGTGCATGCAACCAACCCCTGGATCGATTTTACGACACTGTATTATACATCCAAGGCTATAAGGGACGACCTTTTTTTTTTTTTTGCTTTCCTCTTTTCTTTCCATCATGGGTCTGTGATATAAATCCTGAGGATGGACATTCCATCTTTCCCCATCATGACAGCGTCTTCTTGACCCCCGTGCTCTTGCACTTGAAACTTGAAAGACGTGCCGCTCCCCTGAGTCATAGCCCAGTGATATCCTTCATCAGTATCCGGAAATAGATATACCGGATATACCGGTATCCTCCGGTACTAGACCGTTTCCCTTTGCAAATTGGTGACCTCTTTGAAAATACTTGTTTTCGTCGACTGATAGGTATAGAATGAATCTCATACATTTTTTGAGTGAATAAGTGAGCAGGCTCATATCTACAGGGTGCCACGAAATGATGTGATGCGTGCCCGTCCAATCCTCCCTTCCCCCCCGCAGCACAAGGACATTGTTGATATACTGAAGCCAATTACAGGGTTTTAATCTGGGTGTCTATTCATCCGTACGGAATTAGTGACGACCGACTGGTGACAGGAAAAATAATGGATTGATCGCATTCGCGTAGGGATATACCGAGTTGGCACGAGATGCTATTACAGTTTTCAGTTTTTCGCTCCCTCTTGAAACCATACCCTAACGCTGTTTATCGCTGTTGGGAATGCAAATGGTGAAAGCTTTATGTTCCTAAATACGTGTCTACATAATGCGGAATAAGTGAGGAATTTAGCCCAGTCGTTGCATTTTTCACACACGTTTCGATTTCGTCTGTGAAAAGAGAAACCATCGCTTCGTGGGACCCTGTAAAGTCAATAGACTCCATCCAGGAAGGCTTCAGGAAGAAATAGTCGGCAGAAAGAAAACATGTAATTCTCATCCCGTCTGACGGTAATGACGTAGAAAGGAGAGCACCCCTTTTCCTTCTCTGAGTCGGATCTTTGGGTCATTGTGCACTCACTTCACGGGACATCAGACCGAGAATAAACAACTCGTAAAGGGAGTAATTAGAAGCCCATGTTAATTAGGGGCACGGAGGGTGGGGCGGGTTAGATCGATACGCGAGCGGGGCTATGTTATCGGCATCATTTATCTGAATGCATCGGCCGACGTGCTACCCTCGCCTTCTTCGGCAAAACAGAAAACACCAAAAAATCCCCCAGTACATAAAAAAAATTGCATGACCTGTACATAACGATCTGACGGGCATAGGTAGGCCAATCCACTTGGCACTCCGATGATCACCTGACAAAGGGCGAGCTCAATCCCGAAGAATCGTATATTCCCCAATGCTCATTCTCCAGTTTTGCATCCATTACAGTGTGCAAAGCTGGTTAAATTGAGCAGATAATTCACTTCGCAATGGGAAAAAACTATAGGGAGTATTGAGATTTCTCGGAATTGAGTCGCCGGTGACCGACTACCTCTTTGAATGATGCAGGGTATCTAAAAAGATGTTCGGTCCGGAATTAGACCTTCCATACTAGTTTTAAAAAAATAATAAAATAAAATAAATAAATATACATATATATAGTTAAGGTATAAGAAAGGGTAGTGACTGCCATAATTTGCTCAAGTACAACCAGATATTTATAATAATAATTTTAAAAAAGAAGAAATATATATATATATATATCTTGTTGGGGATGGCAAGGTCTAATCTCCGCCCTATTTTTTTTTTAGCCACCTTGCACAGCGTAGGAAATTAAATGAATAATGAACAAAATATGAAGAGACTGACATTGTGGAGTTTGTAGTAAAGTCCGCAGGCGTTGCACACAGGCTCCCCGTTGTGGTTCCTCCGCCAGAGGGTCGTCGTCGTCGTCTTGCAGTTCGAACAGCTGGTCCCAACTCGCCTCGACGCACTCTGTGTAACACAATATCCCCCTCTCCCCATCACAACACAAGTCACAAGAGAACCGCCTTTTTTTTCTTCCCAATCACAACCAACAACATCTTCGCGGGCGCGAGTCATGGATCGTTTTTGGCAGCTAGGAGGAAATGGTTTCACCGCGGTTTTCATTCAATCCATCCGGAATTGAATTTTTTTTACATTTCTTTGTCAATAGTTCGTACTACCGGATGCATCTCGCGTTCATATTGCGGGATATGTTGCAACTAATTTAATGTTGAAATATGTGGCGCTCTATGGTTTTTAATTTTGTATGTCGATCTCTGCAATTAAAAAGTCGCCCACTGTAGCTACTCTCCGTTCTACTATTCGACTTTCTATTTATTCCCCGCATGGCTGGGTTTAGTCGACGACAAAAGAAGAGAAAAGGAACAAAAAACGGGTTATTTACGATCCGTTCGCACATGGTTTCCCGGGCGTTTCGCCTATCGGAGTGGGAGATCAGGGAAGGGCCCCGCCACAAATCATGAATCCTCCTCCCTTCGTCCCTCCCCATTTCAGTACTCGCTTTCACAGTACCAAACTGTCTCAGACAAGGGTCCCTCTATGCAGAGGACGGATGTTTCATGACAGATGGGGGACAGTGATAAGCTACACGCTCGGATCGCTTTCTCACTAATTAGCATTAATTCACGCTCAATGAACACGAAGAAACCAGGAAATTTTCTTGCGCGCCCTCATTATGCAACCACGTCTCTCGCACCGAAATATACCATATTCTATATACATTTCGCATTCCTTTATAACGGACGAGCGCCCACATGAATGAGCATTCATTAAAAATCACCGCGAACCTGACGGAGAGACAAAGGACATATTACAATGGCCGCCCTTTGTCCCATCCGGGACGGAAGTTGCAGGCAACTTCAATCAGCCTTCCCTCTCTGTCCTCTCATTAATTATTTTTCATGCATGGAGTGGGGGGAAGCCAGAGGTTGCGAAACGCTCTGAGGAACCAACATAATGGGCTCGCAAGTGTCCATGGGGGATTGGACGGGAAACGCATATATTACTGCATACATTATTCCCAGCGCCTGATCGTGTTGATAGACGGGGATTAATGAGGGCGTGGAAATATATAGGAGCCCATCAATCAACTGCAACGGGGCAAGCGCGAACGTAAATCAACCGATGGTTTCCGACGCTTGGGTCGACTTTCTCACTTTCTCCCGGCAGCGAGCGATATGCGAAGGGAAAAATGTGCTCAACTAACCAGTCGCCGTTTGGGCTTGATGAGAGGTCGATTCTGGCCGTTCATTTTGTGGTAGAGGCCACAGGCATTGCATAGGTAGTGGCCTGTTCCATCGCGTCGCCACAGTGGAGTCGTCGTCGCACCGCAGTTCACGCATTCGCGCCCTTCTGTTATGGGTGAATAAAAAAAAGGCACAAATTTACACAATCTGAATTTTGGAAGCCATAGGCCTAAAATTCAGCATTTAGAGAAGTGCAAAAAAATGAAGAAAATTCAAAAGTACTTTTTCTTTTTAAGTTCGTAATAGCTAATGGATAAATTTCAGGAAAAACATGAGAAGTGTCGAGAGTGAAGTGCCCATCGCCAGAAGCCAGGAAATGTGACCATGCACTGCATAGTGTTCCATGCAACGCTCCAATTATTTCTTCCTATTGAGTTAGACGAGTTTTGTAATGACTTAAGGGTCAGGAATTTCCAGTAAATGGAAATGAGGAGATAGAACTGGAAACATCGGCACAGGTGAGAGAAGGAAGTAATGTAGAAAAAAAAAAGAAAGAGGAAAAAATGCCGCGTGGGCGTATTTTACGGCTTCCTTGGGCACCATGTGTTGCATCACACTGCGACATTTTTGTGGGACATGCCGCGGCGCCAAACTCTCTGTCTCTAGGATACTGTTACACTCGACTAATTAGGCGATTACAAAGACAAACTCAATCGACGGGGAAAGGAAACTTCCATGGCGACAGGGTTCTCTGTACCGGAGGAACGCCACGTGGCATTCCTCGGATGCCTCCTGTCTTCATTCCGACTCTTGGAGACAATGGCAGATGTGCCGCGTAGGACAAGGCAAGCAAAAGAGAAAAAAAAAGCTTTCCAGGCTATAAAAGTGAGGGTGATCATTGCCAATTAACAGAAAAGGTGTCACCTGATATCCGAAATCATAAAAAAGTGGAAATGCAAGTTATCGTATGTTAGCGAGAGCGTGCAGTAGAGAAGTACAAAGCCATCGAAGCAGACGTGCGGTTAGTGCGGTGAGATCCCCAGAGTTTTGTGTCGTTTTGTGTCTTTCAATTATTCTTACCCGCCGAAGACCTCTTGGCTTTCGGCTTTGCGGGCTGACTCTGGTTCGATTTCACGGAGAAGGGAAGGTTCAGGTATTCCGAGGGGGTACAATAATTCGGGGAATGCGAGGATGAAGGAGTGCTCGTGGCGACGACGGGATTGTAGAAAGAGGTAGAGTAGGAATTGGGTAGAAGGGTAGAAGTTGGGGGTGATGTACCTTCCCGTTGAGATGCCAGGTTCCCCGGCTTCGCACAGGCTGCTGCTGCCTGGACCATTGCTCCTATGGACGTCATCATCAGGTTCGGCTTCACGTCCTGATCCTCACTGTTAGCGTTGGGGTGATTCCAAGCGGAGTTGTCTCCACTGGCCGCGGTTTCGGGGGTGGACCCACCATCTTTCGGTGGCGTCGGCGGGAATGGGAATGGGTTTATCGAAGCCGGGTTATAGGAATTGTTGTTAGGAGATGGAGAGGTGGACGAGGAGGAGGAGGGATGATAGACTTTGGGATTGGGGAAACAATTCCACGAGGAATGATCGCTTTTTCCTTCTCCGCTCGGTGAACTGGCTGACCCAGCCGGACTCGTGGCTGTGAACCAACCATGAAGAGCTCGCACCATCCCCCCTCCACCCATCGCTGCTGCCACTGTTGTGCAAAAGGAAAAAAAGATATCGGACGGTTATTATGCGACATAACAGCAAATGCTTTTTGGGAGCGGGCGCCCTGTAATTACGAGGCAGGCCAAGTGAAAAGAGGCGCCATGGAATCCTCGGATCGAGGCACAATGGTGAGGGAATCTTTTATAAGAACCTCCCCTCTTTCTGAGTTTACAAACATGTGGAGTGGACCCCCCTCTCGAGCTTCTGTGTGAGCTCTGAAACGAGCCAACTTGTACGTACAAAGCCCACTTAGTGCTTGTGTCCGCATGTAAGCATAACACTCCCTATTTTTCCCCCCGTTTCCCTCCACGAGCATGGCTTGGCAAAACATTATTAGGCCCCATTGCGCCACACGTCTCCGCGGGACGTCTTCGACCCCTGATCTTACCAAGCTTCCAGAACAAACTTAGGTTGAGGTAAAATTCTCGGCCGATTCCCTTCAATTACAGATTTCGCTTCTAATATTAGTCTGGAAAGGACGCTGACTTTATTTGGGGAGGGAAGAGATTTGCGGCTGAGCATATACGTCATACGAGTTACGAATATGGGAAAACTCACTATGAGGGTTGGAATACGGAGAAGGCGGGCAGTATCTCCGAGGTGATGCTTGGGGGTGGTGATGCAGAGGCTCCATGGGAGGTGGGAAGAACTGGATGTCCCCGGGGGTGCTGGTGGTGGCGGCAGATTCAGATCCCCCACTTTCCCCCCCGGCCCCGTAAGGCCCTAAGGGGTCATACCATCGCTCCGTCCCCGTCATATCCATGGCGCCCAACCCCACCCTGTCCCTGTACACAACAATACCACGCATGTCAAGACTCCGACAGGGGACATATGCGACATAGGCCTAGTGGTGACTGCGTGGCTTCTGTCTCCAGCCTAATGGGTTGACCCCGTCTCGGCCGAAGACTGATTTACGTCTCTCTCTTGCCCCAGGATTTCCTGGAACTCTCGCGTTGCTCCTACGAACCCTATCGATTCCCAACAGTAAATGAAATGGAGGTTCATTAGTTCGCCCCGTCGACGCCGTACTCCAGAGTCATTATTTCTTTCCGCCAAATGCTTCGGCCCAAGCGAATCGGACAGGCGTAATTGACTCGGGATTAAAGAAACAAACACACTAAACCATTCTGCTTTCTGCGGGTGAACAAACATCGAGACCCAGCCAAATTACCCATGTTCATTTTATTATGCATGATTCCTTCAGTAGATTTGGAATTCCTGGCGTACACGGAGGCGTAATCCCAGCAGACCCCGCAGATAATCAAGACCTAATTTGCGTATTCCTTCGCTCCACTTTTGTTTTGAAGACCCCTGACCCCCCCCCCCCTTCCCCTGCCACAGCCGTTAACGGTCCTGGTCATCTTAACGAGTCCAAATTCTTTAGAGAAACCCATTAGAAAGCGATTTATGAAATGTGGAGATTAGACGCATCGTCGTGGCCTTCATAAAACAACGTAGACCTAACAAGACGAAAGTAATTTGTCCTTTTTAATTGCATGGTTTGATTAGTATGGAATTTGGACTATTGGGTTAAGCTTTGTGTCACGGCTTTCTGACTTCCCTGATTTCCTTCCAAACCTACTCTGACCTTGAAAGTGAAGTGCTATAAAAGTCTTCGAGTTGATCGATGGTAGAGTATTGCCTACCTACGGAAATCTGGAAATCAAGACCGGTGTTCGTATCATTTTTTAATTAGGTCATCTGCCTTGAAGGCGTAGAGCGTGTATGTGAAGGGCTCCATTCAAACTGGGCTTTAGCACTGAAATTTTCATACTTTCTTTTGACGGAGTAACTGCGGTGACTCGATGGTACGTTCGAATTACCAACTCGTCTCAGTGTATCAACAAAACATTCCAGGCTCCCAATTCTGTGCAACCAGTGTTGATATACCATCTGTCAAGAATGAGTTACTGTACAGAAACAGCATCCAGGCTGTTTTCCCAACGTAGAGAATGCAGCAGGTCCTGCCAACTCGGTCAGGGTTGGAACACTCTGATATCAGATACATGCACGACTGAAAAAAAAAATTTGCTTATATAGAAGACCCCGACATAGGTGGTGACCCACAAGAAACAATGCAAGTCACCACTGCTCAAATTCCATTTACCCTTCACTTATGAGTCCCAGTTTGAGAACTGGGGTACTTAGACTAACTATAGACTTCCGAAAGAGAACAAATTTTGTGTCACCATAAGTGAACTATCTTGAATCCCGATTTAGAGCTTCCTTGTGGCATCGAAAGATTCCACCTCCAGACCCACTTACTAAGCTGAGACTATAGGCCTATACTTCCTCCCACTTTTGTTAAGCAGTCTCAGCCACAAGCATCGACACTGCATTTATTGATTCTGGTCTTTCTCCTCGTGTCAGCCATTCCCGTCGTTTGGCAGGATTTACTTCAAGGCAAAATTGTTAGCATGAGTTCGGGACTTTCCCGCACCTCACACTTCGTACCCAATCCCCTACGGTTTTAATTCAATGCTTGAACTCACTTCCAAAACGTTTTCCCGAGTTGTATTGTACTTGGTGGGAGAAGTGAAGCAAAAGACAAGCCATCTTGTCTGCAGCAGAACTGGCCAAAGGTCTTCTCTTAGTTTACCAATAACATTGCTTGAAAGTGGCTCGACAAAGAGATGATGTAGATCCAACGGACAATTGAAAAGTTCTTATCGAAGCCATGTTTGAATGCATGTAAAGACGAAGGGGGTAAGAAGGACTCACTTTGCAGTAGGGGTGATGGTATCAGAAAGGATAAATCCCGGCGATCCCAGTTATCGCAGGGAGGAATTCACACCTGTGATACAACAGATTGAAAGAGGGGGAAGAGAGGAAGAGATAACGCACGTAGGTTGAACCTGTTGTATCGCACTTATCGGCGAGGAGAGGATAAGAGACTGAGGATAAGGGGGCCTCAGTCTCTGGCTCTACCTCCCCCCCCCTTCCCGATAACACAACCGCATTGGTTCATCCCCGCCCCCTGATAACGGTCTCGCCAGCCAATCCACACAAAGCCAGCTGGGACATGGCGACCCCCACTGAAAACCCTCCTCTCTCTCTCGGCTTGCCATGGCTAGACCGTTTTTATTGCATTATCTCCCCGTTGATAACGCCCAAATTACGTGCCATTAGTGGTCTCGATAAGACGGGATCTCCACGCGCGGGAGATCTTGTCGTCTTCTCATGACTTAGGCTCACTATGGATACGATTACTATCGCTAGCATTCACCCGGCATCCAGACTCCATTCAACCATTGTTCCTCTCTCAGAGCTACAGCCTACTGCTTTTCTTGCGGTCTTTCTCGTACATGAAAATCAGTTTCTGAGTGTGATGAGGCTTTGAAAATTAAACACTCTGATTCCATCATCAATCACCCTGATAAAATCAAAGCAAAGATGAGCCTGCAATTCGCTAAAAATGCATAAGATCAACACATATGTAATGGGGTGTATTCGCACCATGATTAAATCAAAGGTTTATATTATGTGGATACGATACTGCTGTCGCCAACCTGCAGGTTTGCATGCAAGCCACTCTCGTGTTTCGTGATCGAGAGATGTGAGGAGGAGTGAATCGATGGCAAAAGAGGGGAAGCATTGACGCTTTAGGGTGATATCGTCGCAGCGATTGTCGATATCCAGTCGATTACGCTCAGCGGCAAACAAGCACACGCAGACCCATAAGAAATTCCCCGGACGATAGAGAGCTCGGAGGCACCAGTTGCCGCTTCACCCCCCGCTTTCGATCCGAGGCCACTCCGGGATTCAGCAACGGACCAATGAGGAGGCTGGAACCGGGCCCAATCCCCGCCCCCTTGGAAACGGCCATTACCCTCCCCTCCACTGGCGCATGGGAAGCAGCCCAATCGATCGGGACGCGCCGTGCAATTATACACATAGGCCTATAGGATCCCTCAGCGCAATCAATACCAAAGCAAACATGCCTTACATTTCTACAACTTCCAACTCTACACTGAACGACATGAGAAAAAAAAAGTCACCCGCGATGCTGTAGATTATAGACGTTTCTCATAAAAAGAAACTCTGGAATTAGGATAGCCAATTCGTCTTAAGTTTCAGAACTCAGGAATTTCGGTGTTGGTACAGTCCTTCCTTTCCTTTCTTTCTGACAGTGCTCCTTCACTATATACCATGCCATGAAGTGAAGCAACGTGAGAAATGGTTTGATGCATTGAAAGAAGGCATTTGAATTGCCTCGCTGCATTTGCATTGAAGCTGCGAGTACATGAAGGAAGATTTCATCTGCTCATGTGACCTTTCCCAGAATGAAGCTTCGGTGTGAATATCAGCCGAGATCGGATTTCCTGTGAAAAACAACGCCTCCTGATATAGGCTATCTCCCTATGGGATGCGGTAGATCCGAATAGAGGATTTCGTGAGATATGGCCCGTCAAAGCCATTTCTTTCCCGAATCCCTTCAAATATTGATGAGTTGAGGCGCCAATCGTTTATTCTTGACTCCATGCATCCCAAGTGACTGCTGCTGAACGATACTTCGCTTTGATAGAACGTATATCGTAGTGTATCGTATTTCTAGAGAAAAAAAAAAAAAAACAAAAAGAGTTTTTAAAAAAAAAAAAAAAAAAAAACAAAAAGAGCAGGGTCAACAAAATATCTCCTGACTCCATAGGCGTTATCGTCGAGAAGGCCGGGTGTTTCCTAGATTCCCAGTTTTCTTCCCATCCCGCGATCGTCTCTCGGCGAGTCATTCACCGATTGCATACGATGCGGGATGGGGAAGTCAGCGATCCGTTTATCTACGAGGTATACATAAACGAGTATGGGAAACGGCCTGTCAACATCGATACGCGATACGAGCCAGAGCCCTCGGAAAGAAAAGGCCATTAATGGAGGCAATGAAGGATGATTTGAGGGGGGAGATCTCTGTATACGAGTGAATCCGAAAGGGACTTAGTCTCACCCGGTTGACTCCCTAAATAGGAGGTCGCGTGGCTTTTCCCCTCCTGCACCAGGCCTGATAACGCCTCTCTATATAACTTCTATCATACGACGAGGGGGAGGGGGGGGGGGGATGGGGAAGCCCATAGAAGACCCGCTGTGAAATCTCCTTCCGATATCTAATTGTCCCAGCATGATGCCTTCGCCCGTTTGCATCCGTCCGACAATGGAGCCCACGGTCGTACGACCGCGGAACAGCGTCCGTTACGGCCGATGCCTCCGAGATGGACCGCGTCTCGTCTCCTGCAAAGATTCTCTCGAATTTTCGCACATTCGACTCTCGTCGTATTCGGTTATGGGCTTACGATCCGCGCCCCCGATAAGGGCATGCGTGGGGATAGGTCAGCTGTTCTTAATCCGCCGGGCACGAGTCGAGACGAGAAATATGGGTCGGCCAGGGACGACAGCGACACGGGCCCAAGGCTGCTTCACATTAATCCTCAAAAGTCTCGTATTTCTCACACAAATCCGAAGAAGTATCGAGCCCCCGAAATTAGTCTCGCGAATGCGCTCGAAATCGTTTTCACGCGGTTAAAAGCACGAACGCGAAAAGGGTCCCGATCGGCTCTCTCGGGTTCCATTTTGTTACTTCCTGCATGGCAAAAGCATCTCAATCTGCAGGTTATGAGCGATTCAATAATTTTTTTTTATCACGGGAAAGATTGACCGATTCGATATCAAAGGGGTCATCAACAAACTGTTAAACGGCCTTTCTTATCGGGAACCTCGGGAATGTGCCACGATAAGAGACAGAAATTGGCACGCTCGAGGCCGCGAAAGATACGTGGCAGACTTCCAACGACGTCGATCCGAGCGAGTAATAAATTTGGCGAAATTCCCATCGGCAAATTAAGGTTTTTAGTCTCCTCTGCACGAAGAGAAGAGAGTTCCCGCGCGAACACGAAATCCCCGATGATTCCCGTCGACCGGGCACAAAATTCGATCGAAACGCGGAGACCCGTCGGACGTCGCGATCGGCGACTCCAGCGCTGGCGAGAAGTCGCGACGAAGGAATCCTTTGAGGACGCACGCTCCAGCAGCTTCTCGCATTTCCCCTGCATCTTTTTTCTCATTGATCGGGGAAAGAAGGGAGGCCCGGAGAAGAAGGGAGGTTCGGAGAAGAAGGGAGGCTCTTCGAAGGGAGGTTCTGGCTCCCCCTGCTTGGCAACAGACCCAACAGACTCCTCGGCACTCCGGTTCCAGACAAACACAGGATGAGACAGAGAAAACCTGGTCGATTCTCCCTTTTTTCCCCTTCATTCCCCTTCTCGCTTCGGAGACGGAGTGACACCAGTTTTTAACGGCCGGAAATGGATTTGGATTGTGGAGAAATTTTATCGGCCGCGACTCAATTTCCGCTCTATTTCGGGGGGCGAGGAAATAAAGGAGGAAATTCTGACGGGCCTTATCCGCGACACCATCGTTTCGTTCCCCGATTCTCCGCCGTGCAAGTCTGAGTTCATTATGCTGAGAAAAGCCCGGTCGATTCCTAGCGGTGTCGGCGGTGTCGGCGGTGTCGAATGGGGTCGCACGTCTGCAGACCAGCTGGAAAACGACTTTGCTGCAGAATAAATGAATATTAATTTCGGTGCTAACGATCAGTGACCCTCTTAAAACCTTTTTTTTCTCTCAAATCGACCGACACTCAACGGCTGCGAACACGAATCGACGACCTCGAAATCTCGCGACGTTCGACTCAACCGCCCGTCAAAAAAAAAAATTAATCAAAAAAATATAACCGGATTTTGAATTTAATTTAAACTCGGTACGAAACGTCGCCCCCAACTTCGGAAGGAAATTCCGTCCCGGTCGACGCGGCATGGCCGAGGGGATGCGAGGGAGGGAAGTCACAATTATTTATGAGCTAATTAACCGAGGTCCCCCAGGAGGTAATTAGGAGTATAGCCCGAGGAAATGGGCGGGGGAACGATGCCCTTTTTCCCCCACATAATCGAGGGAGATCCGGCCCGCGATTGGCTGTCACCATGGAAACGCCGGTGTGCAGGTGCACGCCATCCCCGTCTCGTGTGCCGATTTCGTCGGGACCGTTCCCTCCCCCTTTTCATGCATGCATGCATGCATGCACTCAAAGGAATTTCATAATGGCCGGGGCGATAACGTAAATGACCTCCCTCGATACCCGCGAGATAAAGTCTAAATACCTGTCTTGCCTCTCCACCGCCGAACGGAAATCGTGCCGGGAAGAATAGGGAGCTTAAAAACTTCTCTTTTCCCCCATCGAGGATTCGGAATCGCGATAAAACGGCGGATCGCCTGCACCCGCGCCATCGAACTCTTTGGAGTCCCGTTGTGACCCCCATGGAAATCCGATGGTAATGTTCGGCCCGAGAGGCGTCGAACTCGTCGCCCGTTTTCGCCCCGAATGCAGGTGCGAGGAGATCCCGAATTCCGATTCCGGGTGCCGACGACCGCCGTACCGCGATACCGCGATACCGCCGTGCCGTATGCATCGCGAACGTCCGAAGGTCGTTGGCCTTGGCCTTCCCGAGGGGGATCGCGAGAGATGGACGCGATTCTGCGTTTCAAGAAAGAGATCCCTACCGGATCGGTCGCCACCTCGAGGAGAAGTCTTCGCGGATCTCCCCGCGATTCAATTAACCGTATCGATAATAAATGGGTAAACCCATTCGGTAAACGAAGAATCTCGACCCGAGTTCGAGTTCGTTCATCGCGAAACCGAAAGCTCGATCGAACCGCCTGGAGGCAGAGGAAAGTGGTCACGCGGGAATCCTAAGAGGAGACTCATTTAACGCCACGTGGAGGAATCCCGTCTTACCTCTTCTTAATTCCACACAGAGATAAACAGTTTCTCCACGAGTTTCCACCTTGCATCTCCCACCTTGCATCTCCCACCTTGCATCTCCCACCTTGCATCTCCCACCTTGCATCTCCCACCTTGCATCTCCTACCTTGCATATCCCACCTTGCATTTCCCCCCTTGCATCTCCCACCTTGCATCTCCCACCTTTCATTTCCCACCTTGCACTTCCCATCTTGCATAAAATTTCCCCCCTGCAAATAGTTTCTCGACCACCACCGAAGGCAGCTGAGGATTATCTCTAGAATCGGGCAATACCGACCGTCCGAGAGCCAATGGCCAAGAGCCAATAGATCTTTGTGACGCGCATCGCAAGGACGCCATATATTGTTTACTCCCCGTGATTTGTTTTCAGGCCATTCTTTCGCCTTCACATTTTCATTTATTTAAGCCGCAAATGGGACTCAATTTCTCTTCCCCCGTCTTCGACAATCTTCGTCGCTTCTCCCCATGTCTTTGTTTTTGTTTCCTTTTTTTTTATATTTATTTATTATTTATCTGTCGCGTAGAAGAAAGTACACTCGTCCTTTCACGCATTCTTCTCTGTGGAATTTCTCAGCGACGTGCGTTCCTCCTCGAAAAATAATAATAATAATAATATAAA